TTAATCCGTTCCCAGACACGGTTCGTAAGCCGAAAATTCGTAAACTAAAGCAAATTTTCCCATAAGAAATAATGTATATTGAATTAATCCGTTCCACACTCCACAAAAAATTAACTTCAAAGTAAATTTCATACATAATTTACCCAAATCTTTAGTACTAAAGTATGTACAAGCGTTTACTTAACTTTATTGATGACTTTTGTTGGCAAATGGAAGACAGTGAGGAAGGGGGGGGAGGAGGAGAGGTATTGGTGTTTGGAAGGGGGGAAGGAGGAGAGGTATTGGTGTTTGGAAGGGGAGTTCCCTTCCATTATAACATCAGACAGTGATGACTTCTCTGGGGTACACTCTCTGGCACGTTTTGCCTGCATACCACTAGGACCTGCTTGTGGCTCACCGTTTGATTTTCTAACTAAAAAGCGATCCATTGAGGATTGTTTTTCCTTTGTTGTAACACTTGTCTGTAGTGAGGCATCACATCGTCATTAAAAAGGTTAATGCAATGGCCTATTACAGCTTGCTCTGGGTGAGTCGTTTCAACAAAAGTTTGCATTTCTTCCCATAGTCTACACCACTTCCTAATTGTTGAGGAAGGGACATTCTGTACTGCCTCCTCCCCTGAAGAAATTTCCTCAGCTACCTCCTGTTGCTGCTCATTGTGAAGTGCTAGAAGTTCTTTGGCGGTCGGTTCTTCGCTGTGTTCCTCCACCAACCTCTCCACATCAGCACCATCCATCTCCAAACCCAATTTCCATCCCAGAGTAACAATTTCCTCAACAATAGACACTTCAGGTTCAGGCTCAAACCCCTCAAAGTCTAGATCTGAAACACATTCAGGCCACAATTTTCTCCAACCAGAGATCAGGGTTCTTTGAGTCACTTCTTACCAGGCTTTGTCAATGAATTTTAAAGTAGTACAAATGTTAAAATGGTTTTTCCAGAACTCTATGAGGGAGAGGTGTGTAGAATCATTCACTTCGAAACATTTCCGGAAAAGTGCCCTCTCGTAAAGTTTCTTGAAATTGGGATATGATTTTCTGGTCCATAGGGTGAATTAGAGGAGTGGTGTTAGGAGGAAGGAACTTTATTGTAACAAAATTAAATTTGTCCAACAATGCATCTTCCAAGCCTGGAGGATTAGCAGGAGCATTGTCGAGAAGTAGGGCCTTGAGTGACAAACATTTCTCCTGCAGATATTTTTTTCATGGCAGGGCAAACCACCTTATTCACCCACTCCATAAAAATTGCCTTGTCACCCATGCCTTACTATTAACCCTCCACATCACACACATTTTGGCTTTTCTACACATTATATTTTTTGAAAACCCTTGGATTTTCAGAATGATACACAAGCAGGGGTATAATTTTCAAATTGCCACTCACATTACCACACAGCACAAGAGTAAACCTATCTTTCATAGGCTTGTGTCCGGGCAATGACTTCTTCTCCTGGGTAATGTATGTTCTCTTAGGCAATCTTTTCCAGAATAGTCCTGTCTTGTCACAATTAAACACTTGTTGTGGTAGGTATCTCTCACTCTCTACAAAATCTTTAAATTCGTCAACAAATCTTTTAACCGCTGATTTATCTGAGCTGGCAGCCTCCCCATGCCTCACAACACTATGAATACCACATCTTTTTCTAAATTATCTTAAACCATCCCCTGCTTGTCTTAAACTCTTTCGTATCTGCAGCACTCATTCCAGGGGTTTTCTTTAAAAGGTCTTCATGCAATTGCCTTGCTTTCTCACAAATGATGGCCTCTGAAATGCTATCACCTGCTAACTCCTTGTTGTGTATCCAAATTAATAACAACTTTTCAACATCCTCAAGTTTTTGTGTTCTGTGTTTCGTGATTGTTGATATGCCTTTTACCACTTTAGCACTCATAATGTCCTTTTTCTTAGCAATTACAGTGCATATCGTTGACATAAATTTGTTGTACTGCCTAGCTAGTTCAACAACCCCGTGTACCATTTTCATGTTTACGAATGATCTCGTGTTTTTCTTCTATGGTCATTCTCATGTGTGTTTTCTTGGCTTGAACCTTACCACTGGCTTTCTTGGGACCTATGGCGAGATATATACAGTAATAATAACTTTTATATTCAAATATCCTAAAAAAAAATGAAATTCTTTACAAAAAATTCAGGCACAATTGTCACTAGGCAGGAGGCACTGGTAAACTGAGGTGTGTTCGCCGTATCACCACAAATTTGGAACCAAATCCATTTGGAACCATTTTGGATCCAAATTGGAGCCCAATTTGGATTTTACGAAGAAATTGGGCTTGTAACCCAAAAAGTTCATAAAGAGGGGCATTCGTAAGCCGAGATGTCACTGTACTGTCGCCTCTTATCTTGCAGCATTGGCTGAACCACTCCAGCTTGCGTTTGGTGTGGATGTTACTTCTACCCCCATTTCATAAGTTTCTCGTGCTTTGTTTCACCTCCAGCCTGTTCATGCACCATCTGAGTTTTCCTGGTCCTTGGACCGGGTGCTCTTCTATCTTTCTTTTCCTCGGTTTGTGGTGGCTCCTTCAGTTTCAGATTGTTTTTCCAAGGCTCTGTTTTTGTTGGCATTGGCCTCTGGGGGTCTGGTCGGTGAGCTTCATGCTCTCCTCCGGCACAGGGGTTTCTGCTCTTTTGGCCCTGGTGGTCGGTTTGTTCATATGCAGCCTTCTCCTTTTCTGGCGAAGAATGAAATGGTGGCTTTCTGGAGGGACTCCTTCTGTCTCTCTGTTTGACTTTCAGTTGTAATTTTCTTACAATGTGGGGTATGTTTTGTTATGCCTACTTTTCTGGATGCCTAACCTCAGTCGATGGCAGATAAGAATAACCCCCAAAAACAGGGGGGGAGGGGTTCTCCAGGGTCATTGCTCCCTGCACCTCTCTTAGGGGGGTCATGTTCTGGCTAGTGGTCCCTGGTAGGCAGAACTCCATTGACTAATGCCCTGGTCTAATGATTCGCATATTACCCCAATAGCTCCAGGGAGCCTCTGGGGCTCACCCAGAAAATTGAATTTCGTTACAATCAACGCTGTTTTTTTTGCTGTGATATTATTTAAAAGTGTTTAATTTGTGGAATTTATATAGTTCAATGTATGGAACATCACTATGCTCAAAATTATGGGGCTCATATATGTGATATGTATATTATATTCTACAATCAATCAAACAGTTTTTTTTGCTGTCATTACACTATATACACATGTTGTATATACCTATCTACATGTTTGTGCACCATAATGAACCACAAAGATTGTGTGATGAGAGTTTATATACACAGATCAAGAATCCAAGGTCAGCCTAGCAGCCTACAGCTGAGTGTGGCAGGGGTTGCCCAAAATACATTTTTATATAATTATTTCAGTGTGAATGGTTTATACAGTATCTAGTTTTTGCAGTAATATTATTCAATAGGGTGTAATATATATGGAATGTATTTACAGTGGCCCCCCTCCATTTACGAATTTAATTCGTTCCCAGAGACGGGTCGTAACTCAAAAATTCATAATTCAAAATGAATTTTCCCATAAATAATGTAAATTGAATTAATCCATTCCACACTCCCAAAAATATTAACTTCCAAATACATTTCATACATAATACCTGTACACATATTATTTACACACGAAATCACAATAGCGTGATGCATCAAATGAACAAATCCACAAGAGCCGTGACGAAGATTCGAACCTACGTCCGAGATCATCCTAGACGCTGCCTTTATCGACTGAGCTACGACATGGTAAAAGAGTTGAAACCGAAGTTCTATTGAACTTAGTGGATCCTGCAGTCTCTCCAAGACACAAACCAGGGTTTTACACAACTCCCCCATGCACCATGTACCCCCACAAATTTACCATGTCATAGCTCAGTCGATAAGGGCAGCGTCTGGGATGATCTCGGACGTAGGTTCGAATCCTCGTCACGGCCCTTGTGGATTTGTACATATTTTTTACTATAGTATGCACAAGTTAAAGCTTAACTTTATTGATGCCTCTTGTTGGAAGATGGTAAGGAGAGGGGGGGGGGGGGAGGTGTTGCTGTTTGGAAGGGGAGTCCCCTTACATTATAACATCAGGCAGTGATGACTTCTTTGGGGTACTCTCTCTCCTACATTTTCCCTGCATATCACTAGGACCTGGTTGTGGCTCACTGCTTGTTTTTCTCACTAAGAACCTTTCCATAGAGACATGTTTCCGTATGGTTTAACATTTGTTGGAAGTGAGGCATCAAAGTGTCATTGAAATGGTTAAGGCAATAGTCTACTGCAGCTTGATTTAGGTGAGTCATTTCAACAAAACTTTGCATTTTTTCCCATACTGCACACCACTTCTTAATTGTTGAGGAACCCATGGCATGGTATATAATAATTACTTTTATGTTTAGAAAGTAAAAAAGCCAAAAAAACAATTAAATTCTTTACAAAGAATTCAAGCGCGATCGTCACTAAGCGGAAGATCTGATAAACTGAAGCAGGGTCACCCATGCTATCAGGAACCACGTGCTCTGTCGTCGACCCATACGTGTATCAACAAAGTCGCAAGTGGAGGCAAAGGTTGTAAGTCAGGTCGAATTTTCCGATGAATTTGGGGTCGTTACTCGAACAATTCCTAAGTAGGGGGCATTCGTAAGATGAGGTTCGACTGTAGTTAAATGTGTGGAATTTTGCTATTCTCAAAAATATGGAGGTCATATATATGGTAACTTTTATTATTAGATCAAACAGTGTTCCTGTTGTTATTACGCTATATACACATGTTTTATATCACTATCAACATTTATAGGCACCATAATATACTAATAAGTAGTTCCGGTGGGTATGGTGATGAAATCAAAACACTTTTACTTAGTGTAACTTTTGTTTTACCTTATTAGTTTTGTTCACACTGCAAATTCACTTTGCATGAGTGAGGGTTTACTGTGCAGTATTTGTTGAAAGATACTTGATATTAGTAATGATTAATACTTGGCAAGTGATCTCTCTTTCCTAGGCATCCAGGTTATCGAGAGGGTTCTGTGCGCGGTAAACTTCCCAACTCTGCCTCAGTATCATCCTTGGGATCCAACAAAGGAGGCAGCACTTGGTCGCTGTGAGCTCTTTTTTCCTTGTATTACAATCATAGGCATAAAAAGGCACCTTTTCTGTAGTTTATAATGGATTTTTTTGTGGGAAGCCCCTTCGGCTCCCTGGAGCTATTGGACTGATATTAGTTAGCTATATTAGTCTGGGGCTCCAGTCACATGGAGTTCTGCCTACCGGGAACCACAACCTGGTTCCCTCAGAGAGCCGCAGGGAGCAATGGCCTATGAAAACTCCACTCTTTGAGAGTATATTCATGTATGCCATTGACTGGGGGTTAGGCACCAAGAAAGATAGGCACCCCAAAACAGACCCCAACTAGTAGAAAATTGCAATCCCAGACTGAATAGAGCCCAAGAACTCCCTCAAGAAAACAACGTAACAAGCAAATCGTCGCCTCCACCCCCCTTTCCCGCCACTTCCTTTCTCTTTGTAAGTTGCATTCTGTTTCTGTTTGTGTTGTTTTGTGTTTCCTTTCTTGGCTCTTTCAGGACTGACATCTTAGGCAGAATACTATTGCCTCTTATCATGGGGCACTGGCAGAGCCGCTCCAGCTTGCTATCAGAGTGGCTGTCACTCCAGCTCCGTTCTGTAAGCTTTCTCGTGCATTTTTCCACATAAAGCCTGCTCATACGCCACCTGAGCCATCCTGGTCTTTAGATCGGGTGCTCTCTTTCCTCTCTTCTCCTCGGTTTGTTGTGGCCCTTTCGGTCCAAGATTGTTTTCAGAAGGCTTTGTTTTTGTTGGCTTTAGCCTCTGAGGGTCGGATCAGTGAGCTTCATGCTTTCCTCCGGCACTGGAGTTTCTGCTCTTTCGGTCCTGGTGGATATTTTGTTCGTTTGCAGCAGTCTCCTTCTTTTCTGCCGAAGAATAAGGTGGCGGACTTCCGGAGGGGTCCGTGGGTTATTGACGCTTGGTTAGTCAGGCTGAGGGTGCATCAAGTTTTGTGTCCGGTTATGGCTCTCCATCGTTATCTGTGTGCCCCGGGTTCTGTGTCCAGGTATGCACTTTGGATTGATCCAATTTCTCTCGTTCCCTGTTCTGGGGCTTGGGTCTCTCAGGTCGTCTGCAGGGTTATCAAGTCTAGCCAGCCTGCAGTCTATCCTCATGCCCATGATGTTCGAAAGTTTGCAGTGCTTGCTGCTGTTGTGGGGAAAATGTCTTGGGCTGACATTCGAGCACGGGGGTTTTGGAGGTTGGACAGGGTCCTGGCCGCCCGTTATCTCATGAATGTTTCGGGCTCGTCGGTGGTCTTATGTGGCCTTGGGCCATCTGTTGCAACCAGTTGTCCCATCTTTGTCATGAGGCACGCGGTGCTGCCGCCTCTTGGATTAGTCCCTCTTTTACTTATCTTCGGGTATCTAGCTTCAGGGAGCCAATGGGGCGCCCCACAGAAAACCCACGTTGAATGTAATGAGATGGCATTTTCTGGGTGAGCCCCAGAGGCTCCTTGGCACCCTCCCACCCTCCAGTCGGCGGTTTTTCTTGAGTTTGCTCAGTCTTCAAACTGGCGAGCTGACAGCCGGCTTGTGTGAGTGGGGCTTTCCCCTCCCTGGGTGGGGGGGGGGGCTAACAAGTGGCACATCAATTTGATGATGATTTGCTTGTTACCTTGTTTTCTTGGGGGGGGGGGAGTTGTTGGGCTCTGTTCTGTCTTGGGTTGCAATTATCTACCAGTCAGGATCTGTTTTGGGGCACCTACTTTTCTGGGTGCCTAACCCCAGTCGATGGTAGACATGCATATACTGTACTCTCAAAGAGTGGAGTTTTCATAGGCCATTGCTCCCAGTGCCTCTCTGAGGGAATCCAGGTTCTGGCTTATAGTTCGTGGTAGGCAGAACTCCATGTGACTGAAGTCTCAGACTAATATAGCTAATATCAGTCCGATAGTACCAGGAAGCCTCCAGGACTCACCCAAAAAATGACATTTCATTACATTGAATGCTGGTTTCTGAAATTCTTATGTTTTGAATATTACACAAAGACTTGCATGCTGTTCAGTGTTAATTAAACGGGTTTGTCTGATTTTGTATGGTTTCACAGACGTGCTTGCTATTATTTGTGATTCTCTTATTGTATTTAGCACATATATTACTCATTACCTGAGCAATACTTTTGAAATTAGAATATATAGATTCTTTTTCTGATCTGGGCTATTCAGTTTCTCTCTTAGGCAATAGCCTTCTGTTCCATATACAAGATTAAATACAATACTGTACTATCAGGCATATCAACATTTTGCCCCAGCGCAACAGAGATCTTATCTGATGTTCCCACCTGGTCGAACTGCGGCGATCAAGACGGCGGAAAAGAGTCTCTGGCCGGGAATGACATCCAGAAGATTTATTCATCTACAGTGCATATGACTGAAACTTTTGGAAGTTTGATGCTAACACTTGGAGAAGTGAGAAAATCGGTTGGAGCTCTTAATAATTATTTAAATGATTTGAACGTGCTACCAACCCATGATCAAAACTGTCAGCCGCATCCTCAACCACTGTACCACCCTGACTTGCTATAAGTTATACAACCTGTAATTCTACTGAATCAACAGGAAGTCTGGAGGCTTTTCTTGAAGCCATTCCAAGTTTTACATATAATACCCAGGCACTCAGGTGTAGGTAAAGGAGGTCAACACCCGAAGCCCCAAAATCAATTACACAGAGAAATCACACTAACCTGATATATATCAATGAGAAAATCAACTCATTTGATTCCCAACTGTTGATTTTCTCATTGATATATATCACGTTAGTGTTCAGATGATGAGTCACAATAACGTGACTGAAGAATGTTGACCGAACCACACACTAAAAGATGAAAAGACGACGATGTTTTGGTCCGTCCTGGACCATTATCAAGTCGACAATGGTCCAGAATGGACCAAAACGTTGTCGTCTTTTTCATCTTCAAGTGTGTGGCTTGGTCAGCACGTTAGTGTGATTTTCTGTGCACTTGGAGAAGTGTTAGCATCAAAGATTGTTGAGGAGTTATCTCCTGACATCTGTTGGCCTGCCTAGCCACTTTCTCCAACCTCCACCAGATATCAGTACCTGCATGTCACCAGGGTAGTCAAACTCTGCTCATCTTACATTTCTCTGCCTTTCCTTAGATACATCAAAGTGATGGAGACCAGTGTTATTCAGTTCTTGTGTTTATCATTAAAAGAAATTAATTTTGTAGTGGGCTTATTCCATTAGTGGATGCTTCCATGTGCATGATTAGCAGTCTTATGAAAATGTAGAATTACTATACAGTGTAACACAGGTGATGAATTAAATGAGAGATGGGAATAGGAATACCAATTAACATGAATGTGAATATGATTGGGACATGACAAGAAGGAGAATATTGGAAGGAAGGAAAATGACCAACCAACTTGCTCAGAAAGGAGTTTTTCATAAATGCTTAAATCCTTGTTTTTACTTTCATGATGGAAAATCAATAAGCCATTTTTTAACTGTTAAAATTCTTTCTATTGAATGTTGTTCACTTCTTTTCTGTGGAGAGCCCCTTCGGCTCCCTGGAGCTATACCGGTCTGATGTGTATATATTAGACCGTGGCAACAGTCAATCGAAGGAGTTTTAGGCCTACCCTGGCCCCTTCAAGAGAGGCACGAGGAGCAATGGCTTAAAGACACCCCATTGTATTTGGAAGCAGTCTTTGTCTGCCATCTACTGGGTCAGGCACCCAGAAAGGTAGGAATTCCAAAACAAACTACTGCTGATCAAATAATTTGCAAACCAAAAGCCGAACTAGCAACAGAACTCCCCAATTAAAAACGAGGAAACAAACATGACATCACCACAACCGCCGCATATCCGTCTGCGCAACACCCTGCCCCCCCTCCATGGGAGGGGGACAGGAGGGTCCCAGATCTCCACGCTGGTAACCTCAGTTCAAGAGGCTGTTGTGTTGGTGATGGTCGATCGCTCTGGCTCCACTCTTTGCGCAGTGCTGCAGTGCAGTGGTGTTGCTCTGTTTTGGTGGCGTGGGAGCTAGAAATAACATAAGAGTACTGGGGCTGCATGCACCTAGGGCTACCTTCCCTGGGTGCCCCGTAAGCATTTAGCATTTGTCACCCACAGGCGCATACAAAAAAAAAAAAAAAAAATTCTTTTAACCACTGCACTGCGCAAAGCGCCTTTAGGCGCTCAGAGAGTTGTGCTCTTTGTTTTTTAATTTGGCTATATTTTAATGTTTTTTAATGTTTTCATTACTATTTGTGTTTTGAAATGGAAATAGTTGACTTTGGAAACATTTTGACATTAAATTTACCTGAACATTTGTAAAAATAACAAAAATATGTCCTTGACAATTGCACCAAGACGTTTTTGCCGAAAATAGGTGAGCAGTGCAAGGGTTAAACCTGTTAATTTGTGTTCTCTGATCATGGAAAAAATAATAAAAAAATCGTAAGTGGCATATATTGGCCGCTTTAGGGCAGGGAAGTCTGGCAAAAAACAGGCACTGACTCAGCATGCGTCCCAAGCGGTCTGTTGCTCTCCAGCTGTCAGGTAGGAGTGGCCACAAAGAGATAATTACCTAATTATTTCAACGTCTCTGACTGATTTTTCGTAGTTTTTTGCTGTAATATTATTCAATAGTGTGTAGTGTGATATATTTATATAATAAAATCTGTGAATCATCACTGTACTCAAAATTATGGTGTGCATATTGTTGATTCAATTATTATGTTCATCAAACAGTGAACAAATACGTTGTCAGTTATTACACTATATACACAGGTTATATATAAGTATCTGCATGTTTTGTTCACCATAACGAACCACTAAGTTGATATTATGAGTCAAAAAGCAACGAGGAGTGACCGCCACACACCAGCCTGCCAATCACTCCCTCAACACCTCACTCACCCACATTCTCCTCCCACCACACTGTTTTTGCTTGTATTCACTATATACATACGTTATATATAAGTATCTACATTCGTGTTCACCATAACGAACCACTAAGTTGGTTTGCTGAGTGGTAGTGGCAGTGGCAGCCCGCCACTGGCTGCCACTTCCTCCCTCCCTCATCTCACCTGAATCGCCACCATTCTCCTCCCACAATACTGTTTTGGTTTTTATTCACTATATACAGACGTTATATATTAGTATCTGCATGTTTTGTTCACCATAGCAAACAACTAAGCTGGTATAGTGAGTCCAGACAGTAAAAGGTGGTCACACAGAGTCAGCAGACAATGCTACCTCCCTCCCCACCAAGATTACTCCTCCCACTACAACGCTAATTATCACAACAATCCTGCTATATCAGAATCCTGGTCATTTTTATCACAGTCAGGGGTCTTTTGTAATCCTATCATCGCTAAATAATAGCATGAACATATATACATGTATTATGACATTTTTAGGCAATGCTGTAGTCACAAGCTGAACAGCAGTGCTGTGAGCTCATGCTGCATGCATCAGGCTTGGTGGCTCACTCAATACTGAGCCCCTCACACCCTGGAATTTGGCCCATGATTTTTTTTTTAAATGGTGTGTGTTTACAAAAGCCCTGATGAAGGTGAGGTAAACCCCGTGTATCCGCTGGCCGTTTAAATCTTGCGTAGTACTCCAATACATCATATGATGTGATGCGCAATTTATAGCAAGTTACTCAACACATCATATGATGTGTTGTGCAGTTTTAAGGGTTAAACTACAGTATATCAATTTAAAAGAAAGTTTAGATTTAATTTACGACTCTAGGTGATCGAGGTTGGTGGCCTGCTTGCCATGTGAGGGCCCGCCGATGCCAAAACAAACCCAATACCGACCTATGGTTCTATAGACCGCCAGACTGATATATAAGGCTCCAGATACCGGTCTCCCAAACCGGTCAATGGAGCCGGCGAATCGGTAAATAATAGGCCGTTAAATCGAGTGAATACTGTTCGACAGAACCATTGGCAGCAACCATGTCATGGTGTGGAGTGCGAGGTGGCTTGTCCACTGGAGGAGGGGGGGGAACAGAAACTGAAGCACCAGTGTAACCCAGGTAATGGCGCCGTGAGGTACGATCAATCATATATAGAAGGGAATTATTCAAGGCAGTGCGGTTACTGTCCGTTAACAGACCCCGCCGGAGCCATTTCCCGAATAAGCGCAAGGTTGGCGGCAGTTCCGGGCTCTAGCCCCAAACCTGCAATGGTAGTAGCAGTAGTCTGGGTTCGAGTTGGCCGTCAAGGAGGTGCTGCAGGATTTGCACTGGGAATGTTGGGGGGAAGCTCTGAATAGCACATGAGGTGTTGGCTGTTCATTTAGGTTGTCACTGTTGTGTGGTCAGAAGGGTATTTCCTGACCAGAGTGAGTCGCCTGGTGCACTATGGTTCCGATCTCTGCCTTCCTTGTGATCTGATCACTCCAACACCATACAATAAGCTGATGGATACACAGGCCTTCATGGAGTAGCTCCCCAAAAAACATAAGGAAACAAGCAAACATCTGCACGCCCCACCTACATATCCCAGGAGGTTCTCTCTGCTAGCCATGTGTTTCTGAGGGTTGACTTGGTGCGTCAGCCGCCACAGCAGTCATATGAGGGACCTTTCCGAGTGTTGTCTAGGACTCCGAAAACCATTACCATCGAGATGACAGAATGCCAGCTGTGGGAAATAAATATTGTATAAACCTGTACCATATATGCTATATTTTAATATGGAAATGTTTGTTGAAATAGCCATAAAAAATATCCTGTTGCTGAAATAATTTGGTATATTTTCCCATACAACTCTACATATGTACTTTGGTGGGAATATCTTGATGTTATATTTTATATTTTCACAAGATTTTGCAGCTGTTATTTCACAGTCACACAATGCTTTTACAAATCTATCATTATGCAATAAAAAATGTACACTTTTAAAGAGCTTTTATATTATGTTTGGGTGTTTTTTCTTTACGTTTATGTTACTCTTTATTTGCTTTCTGCTATCTCACTATTTCTCAGTTATGGCCTCCTCATAAATTCTATGTAAAGAGCCATCATTATGCTTATTATATATATCTGTGTGCTAGGGATGAGTCACAATAATGTAGCTGAAGGGTTGATTCACACACATGTGAAAATGGATAAACAACAATGTTTAGGTCCGTCCGGAACCATTATCAAGTCATGATTTGTTGGTTGGTGGTCAGGAAAACAGTAGCAGCAAGGTGAACTTGAACCCACCGTGCCACCACACTCCAAGACTAAGGGATTTATTATTTTATTATCTCTTTGGTATAACTTTTAAAGCTTTATTCTACTTTAAACTCTGTGGGTGAACAAAGCAGGCAGCTTCTCTCTGCAGATAGAACAAAAAGTTTCTGTAATAGCACATATTGTAGAACATATCTTGATGCCAAGATTACTGAAAATTGCTTTACATAACATATATATCTGGCAAATTCATTTTTTGTCTTGAATATTTGAAAGAATATTGTCTATAATTTTGGTAAAATTTATCCAAACCCCCTCCCCCCCCCTCAAAAAAAAAAAATCCAAATACAGTATATAAAAAGACATCAGATAATTTGGGACTATAATCTGGATTAGCTTTACTATCATTAACTCGTACTTTTAAATCTTGGTAGTTTTTCAGTAATATAATAAATACTGTGCTGTATTTTTGTATGTATCTGTAATGGACCTTTTAAAATATTGTACTTTTAAGTACAGTATGCTAACTTATAAGTTGAAAATTTCCAGTTGAAGAATTTTAAATAATAGTTATTTTTTTACCTAAATTTGCTGCTTACTTTCTATCATTTGTCTGTTTTTCACAGGATTGGAGACTGGGACCATCTAAGCTTAAAGTCCTGTGCTGGAATCTCGTCCTGGAACCTTTTTTCCGACATACCTCTTCTGGAACCTGCATTTGATCAGTTTTCCCCTAATCCTGTTACTCTCTATCAAGATATTACAAAACATCGACTGAAAATTTGTGTAACTGGTATGTTGCATATTGAAATTTACTTCATGTACAGTATGCACATACTGTTCAATGCTTGCAATGTATATTTGGAATTGAAAGCACTAACGGAATCTATGATATAAGATCATTATAATACACTGCTGACCATATTGAGATGCATGTCCATATCATAATTTATTGCCTATTGCATATTAAAGTCTTATTTACTGTTGCATATCAAGCTGTCATCTCATGTAATATGTCTAATTTTGGGGGGATTCTACCAATCCTATAAAAATGAAAAATATTTGTAAAAGTTAAAGCACTATAATATTGATGTTTTCTATGCATCGGTTTTTATGAGTTAGGCTGGTTGCTTGAGTTCATACATTTCTAGTTAAGCAGAACAGTTGCATTATTTTATAGAGGAGCAAATCAAGAGATTTGCCTGGATAAGAATGATTTTATTAATGAATACTGTAAGTACTCTTAATTTTCTTTACCTAAAAAAAACAGCATTGAATGTAATGAAATGACATTTTCTGGGTGAGCCCCGGAGGCTCCTGGAGCTACCAGACTGATATATGCTATATTAGTCTGGGCATCATTCAATTGGGGTTCTGCCTGCCGGGGACTATGAGGCAGAACCTGGCCCCCCTCAGAGAGGCACAGGTAGCAGTGGCCTGTGGAAATCCCCATGTGTTGGTGAGCATTCCATGTCTGCCATCGACCAGGGTTAGGCACCCAGAAAGGTACGCAAAACAACCCCACCTGCTAAGAAATTGCAACCGAAGACTGAACAGAAAGACAGAACTTCCTCAAAACATAAGGAAACAAGCAAACAAGCGAACGTCATTCACCACCACCGTGCTGCTTGTCCACGCAGCTCTCTCCTCCCTGGGACAGGGAGGGGGAAGCCCTGGAACCCCCACACCGGCTACTCGCACCTCCAGTTTGGAAGCTGAGCATGAAAAACAAAACACAAACTGCTGACCGGAGGGAGGGAGGGTGCCAAGCAGTCTCAGGGCTCACCCATAAAAAGGCATTTCATTAAAATCAACACTGGTTTTCTGTGGGGAGCCCCCTCCAGCTCCCTGGAGTTACCTAACCAAAAGCAAGTAAAAGAGGGACTTACCCGAGAGGCGGGCCCCCATGCGCACATCAATTCGAAGTCGAGACAACTGGCTGCAACTTGCAACCCAAAGCCCACACGAATGACCGGGACCAGGAATATTGACCAGATAATGGGTGGCTAGGACCCTGTTCGACCTTCAAAACCTCCGTGCCCGAATGTAAGCCCAAGATATGTTGCCGAACACAGCAGGCAAAGCAGCAATCTTATGAACGTCATGGGCATGAGGGTAGACCACAGGCTGGCTAGACTTAATAACCCTGCATGAGCAGCCATAGGTGAAACAAAGCACAAGAAAGCTTGTGAAAAGGGACTGAAGTGACATCCTAAACGCAAGCTGGAGCGGCTCTGCTAGCGCCGCGTGATAAGAGGCTACAGTATTGGGTATCAAATGACAGCCCTGAAAAAGCCAAGAAAGAAAGGATAAAACAACCTGATTGGAAATAGAAGACAACGTACAAAGAGAGAGAGAAAATGGCAAAAAGAACGGTGCTGCGCAGCACCGGTAAAGCGGTAAATAGACATTTATTGCTTCTCACACACAAATGTATGAAGAACTCGGGTGGTTTAAATGTGTAATTGTCCGTCTCGCTCTTCTAGCTACTCCCATTTTTTTGTTCATAGGGTGTTGGAGTGTAATTACCTAAGTGTAGCTACAGGATGAGAGCTACTCTTATGAATGATGTCTCGTTTTCCCAGTACTCTCTCATATGACACTTTGAAATTAGTGATGGTTTCAATGTGTTTTAGATCTCTGTATCTCTCTGGTGTTTTTCTCTCAATTCTACTGTAATTTCTGATTCTCAGGCTTCTATAAGGCTTTTTGATGGAGCCAGAGTCTATTGCAGATAGTCACTTATAAGTCACTAGATGCCTGGTGCCTCCTAAAGCTTGGATGGTACCAGGTTGTAACATTGAAGAACTACTAATGACCCATTAGAAAGGGGCATTTCATTACATTCAACTTTTTTTTTAAGGATTTGATGAGCTCACTGTTTTTGTTGGCACAAGATCACGAAGCCGCATCTTCCAACTGAACCCACCACGAAATGATAGAAGATATCACATTATTGTTACTGTTCAAGTTGAGCACCTCACAACACGGGTCACAGTGCGAAGTCCCCTGCAGGTCAGTTAATTTATCTTTTGTAAACTTTTACATGATCCACATGTTCTATTGCCACAAGAAAGATTTATCAACTACTTTATTTGATTATCATTGTGCACTATTAATAAGAAAGTTACAATTGTTCCTTAACAATGAGTAGAAGTACAGTAACACAATTTAAACCTTATTAAATTTTAGCAAAAATAACATTTGTGACAATCTATGAATTATGTGCACAGGTCTAACACAGATGATATATTTGCTCCACCGGGTACCAGATAACTGTAGAGATGTTGAAATCTAATGTAAATGTTCATCCCACTTAGGTGACCATAGGGAAGGGATTCTTGAGATACAACCTTAGAAAAATTGGACATTTATGAATAACCATTGGTTATATCTCCAGCCATACTTATTATTGGAATTTGGTTCTTTATACAAGTATTGTTGATCTGGGCATCCCTCTCAGTATTTCTCTCCTGGTTGCACATTGGCAGAGACAGAACCTTCTCCTGTTCCCTCAAGTTGTTCACGAGATTACATACTGTTGTATTCCTCGGTAAATTACTATGCACTTGATTTGGGGAGTTCTTTGCTGCTGTTAATTCGGGGGAGTCCCCAACTTACAAATGGCATCAAAATCCAATTTTTTGTCTTATTTCCTACTAAACAAATTCTTAAGTACATACGTGATGAAGAGTGATTAAATATACTATTTCAGTTCTTTATCGAGGAAAAGTGCCTCGATAACGGCTGATAAGGTGAAGAAGTGAGTTGGTGGTTCAACAAAAGACTATAGGATGTTGCAAGAAGACCTTGACAAACTTGAGGAGTGGGCAGATAATTGGCAAATGGAATTCAATACAAATAAGTGTAAAATAATGAAAATGGGCAAAAGATATAGTAGACCTGTATTTAACTACACCATAAGAGAAAGGTAATTACAAGAAACAAGAGAAAAAACCTGCAAGTAGACATAATCCAAACTCTAAAACAGAAGCTTAGGTGAATAGGGTAACATCGGAACCATCTTGAGGTTATCTTGAGATGATTTTGGGGCTTAGCGTCCCCGTGGCCCAATCCGCGATTTTGTTACACACTCTCGGGAAGCAGCCCGTAGCAGCCGTCTAACTCCCAGGTACCTATTTAGGTACCTGGGAAGTACCTAAATAGGTACCTGTTTAGGTACCTCTGTTCACCTGATGCTAGGTGAACAGATGCATCAGGGTGAAAGAAATATTTTGCCCATTTGTCTCCGCCTCCACCGGGGATCGAATCCGGAACCTCAGGACTACGAATCTGAAGCGCTGTCCACCCAGCTGTCAGGCGCCCCGGGAAACATACCATAGCATACTCCGGGAATAACCATATGGGAAGTTATCAATATAAGGGCATTTAAAAATCTAAACAGGGAGGCTTTCAGGTTCAAACACACTGCCTATGTGAGACCATTAATTGAGTATGTAGCATCAGCATGGAACCCACCGCTGACAGAGGAGGATAACAAGAGACTACAAGATAACCTGGACAGACTGAAGGAATTCGGTCCAACAAATGGCTACTAAAGATTAACCCGAGCAAGCTCAAAGTGATGAAGATAGATGTAGGGAACAGGAAGACACATTAAATATGCCAAAACTAGAAGACAGAAGAAAAAGAGGTGATATGATCACTACGTACAAAATAGTAACAGGAATTGATAAAATCGACAAGGAAGACTTCCTGAGACCTGGAACTTCAAGAACAAGAGGTCATAGATTTAAACTAGCTAAACACAGATGCCGAAGAAATATAAGAAAATTCACCTTCGCAAATAGAGTGGTAGACGGTTGGAACAAGTTAAGTGAGAAGGTGGTGGAGGCCAAGACCGTCAGTAGTTTCAAAGCGTTATATGACAAAGAGTGCTGGGAAGACGGGATACCACGAGCGTAGCTCTCATCCTGTAACTACACTTAGGTAATTACACTTAGGTAATTACAGGCCCGACAAGACCCAGGACCATCAACGAAGGAACGCAGAGCCAACCAACGAATGACGCGGGCACAGGGACAGACAGCAGACTGGCAGGACCAAACCACCAAGCGGACGAACAGTGAAGAGGGGAACTCGGAACAAACCTATCAGGAGAACCAAAAGAGCCAATACCCAGGCGCCCGAGGAGGGCATGAAGCACTCCAACCCGACCTCCAGAGGCCAACACCAACAAGAAAAGAGCCTCGAAAAACAACTCTGAACCGGAGGGACCACCACAAACTGAGGAGAAGATGAAAGTGCACGCAATCCAAGAACCAGGACGGCTCAAGCAGCACAAGAGCAGGCCGGAGGAGAACCACGCCAGAGATGGCTTGCGAAGCGGCGCTGAGGCAACTTCCAAAGCCGAAGCAACCCGGAACGGCTCTGTCAGCGCCGCACGAGACAAGGCAACAGAATGTGGCAAGATGACAGCTCTAAACCTCCACAAGAGAAGGACCAGACCACGCCAAGAAACATAGCAAACCAACGAAGGGACAGAAAGACAAAGGAAGGACCACCAAAGAAAACCCCACATGGCCGCCAAGACAAAGCACGCAGGTGGGACACAATCAACAAAACCACCTGACCACCAACAGATGGCGAGATACTCGAAGCAGAACCGGACCAGCCCCGCCATGGACCAATCGAGCATAGGTGGTGTAGGAGTGGGAAATCCTTGGGTGCGAATACCGAGCAAGCAGAGCCGGAACCCAAGCCGGCAAGGAATGAGAAGGAACGTCTGCTGTTCAGAAAATTTCCCAATGCCAGCGAGCTCGCCAGGAGATCGGAGACACTGTGGTTCCGATGCGAGAGTCGTGAGAAAAGACACCACGAGATCTGGAAAATGCCAACTGGCAGGGTAAGCCAGGAAACCAGGAACCCAAACCTGGCAAACCGGGAAAGAACCAAACATAGGGGCAGTGCAAAAGCAGGAACTGAACATGGACAAATCCAACCTAGCCTCACAACTCAGAGAGAACCCCAGCAACATCAGAGGCCTGAGACTACAACACGCCTCCACGACACATAAGGGGCAGAACAGGCCAACCCCTCACAGCATATTACCCCGCAGGGCAATCGACCTGAAGTGAATACAGGAGAACAAGCCATACGGACTTGAAAAACAGCCCCAGCACCAGCAGCGAGGGACACGAGCGTAGAAGGAAGATGAGGAACGAGGAAGACAGGCAGCAAAGGGATTGGAAGGGACAGGACCAACAACACAGAGGCCATGTCCATGTCAGGCGAATGATAGCCGATAGGCGGGACCAAAGAATCATAGCTCAACCTCTGCAAGCACAGCAAGGTAAGGACAACTAGGTGAGCACAGAGAATCCAATGTATATGAAAGGGTCGTAAGCCAGGCACTTCAAGACGGGCAAGGAAAGAGTGACCCAGTTAAGACCACGAAAAATGGGGCCGTGACCCACAGTGTAACAAACAACTCAGACGAACAAGGAAGGACCCAGGAAGAAGTACCCCAGGGCCAAACTAAACGCCACAGCCAAACCCCAACACGGATTCCCAGTATCAAAACCACAGCAAAATGTCACCTCCGAACATCCTGACCCAGTGGAATATGTACCCCATAACATGTACCTCCACCATTTCACCTCGTAACATGGCGAAGGTGGGGGCCCAGGATTGACTCAAGCATGTGATGGACATGTATATGAATGGGAGGACTGGATGGGTATAAATAGGAACTGCCTCATATGGGCCAATAGGCCCTCTGCAGTCACCTATGTACTTATGTTCTTATATTCATATCCACAAACCAGTGCTTGGCCGAAAGAGACGCCAAACCACATAAACTAACCTGCAGAACATAGGCATGAACGTGCCATGACACAATGTAGCCGAGAGGATTCCGGGAGCACTGCCAGAGGAAGAAGGCTAGAGTCACACCTGCAGGAGAAGAGTAGGGTAGAGGCGAATGAGGCACCCCACACCCACATGCAGGGAAAACCCAGCGTTCCCCCCATAGCGGCAATCCAGAACACCCCCAGCATCTTCGGGGCATGGACTGGAGAGACGAGAGGAGCGAGAGGTGAAGCATTCGAGAGAAAAAGGATGCGAACACCAGCACTTGAGTACACCGTCCACAACAAAACAAACTCCCACGGCGCATGTGCAGGACGCATGAGGTCCCGCCAACAAGGCGTATGGCAAAAATATTAGCAGTGCCTAGACAGAGCATGGAGAGACGATATAATGACAAAAGAACAAGACAGGATCGAAAACCAAGAAGAATCACTGAAGCGGACCCACGAGTCCAAAAAGGACTGGAAGACGACAGACTTCCAATAATGCAGGAAGAATCGAAGACCTTCCCGAATCCCCGAGATCTCACAGACGCAAACAAAATCACAAAGGCTCATAAAGGCACAGTTGCACCCAAGACCAAAAGTCATGCAGAATCCCAATAATAGGGGAACATGACCCCGACAAAACGAAGAAGTCCCGCCCCAGAGAAAAGAGGGTAGAAACTGAGAAAAGTACCCACCGAAAGGACAGAACCGAACGGACCTGAAGGGACAAGGATCCAAACCCGGGGAAGGGCCGATGCCCAACAACTCGTACGTAGAGGGGGAAAGGAAAAAACTCACTCCCCGTAACTGCAAGCCCCCGCACTGAAAGTGGAAAACCCCGGCGGGATCCAATGGGGCCAGAGGCCCCCAAGTCAGCCCCTCCCCAACCCCGGGAACCACCATGGCAGGCCCCGGGGCCGTGCCGTCCCCCCAAAGCCCCAGCTTCACAAGAAAAAGCTGGGGCAGCCAGAAAAGTACTAAGGAAAGAAGCCCACTGGTAGACTCATACAACCCAGCTGGAGGAACAGGCATGATTGCCTCCGTCACTACCCTGGAAGGGAAAACCCCCAAGACCGCCCGAGTCTCAAGACCATCAAATCCCTGCCCCGACCTCAAACCCACAAACAGAAAGGATCCGGATGCAGGAAGAAGGGGGGAAGGACCAGACGAAACCACAACACACAACAAGGGAAAGAC